GCAAATATTGAAAATCATCCGCCAATTCATTGCACACACTAACTATAAAATATTTTCATTTGTTATCTTCACTCAAGATGACAAAATTATACTATCCTCTAATTATAAACTCTTATATAACTAAAAACAATTATTTTTATAATAATTATTTTAAATATTATAGCTAAAATTATTATCAATGTAAAAAATATTAATAATATATCAAAATTAAACTTGTATATACATGCAGACTAATTGGAGTCCTCACTTTCACCTTTTAGCTATTTCAGAAGAATAATGTATGATGTTTTTGTTCTCTCTAACATGGTCCCCTCAAGTTGTTATTACACTACTTTAAAAATAATAAGGCCACTGTTTTTGTTTAACTTTTTTTTGCTAAAAAAATGAATGGTTTAAGAGAAAGGGAATTGCAGTTGATTGAAATGCTTTAATTTATATAGAGAGAGGCCTGCTATCATGATTTCGATTATCATGGTTTTCTTATAAGCATATGGAATTAAGATGTACACTCTTAAAAAAAATATACGATGATTTGAAAACATTTGTTGAACATAATGAATTATGGGAAGTTGATTTTCTTTTTCTTTTTATAATAATTATTTCTCTAAATTTGTTAGTACATTCATACGAGTTTTGTTATCGCATCTTAATTCTTATATATCATTCAATAAATAAATAAATAAATAAATATATATATATATATAGAGAGAGAGAGTCTGCTAAAAGATAAAATTTATGAGACTAATTTTAATAATTTAAAATTTTAATTTATCATACGTAAACTTTAGTTATTTTTATATATTATTATTTTGTGTTTTTTAAAAGGCATAATAACGTAAGAATGAATTAAAATAACCAAATACAGTAGAAATTCAAAGAAGTTAAAGAAAAGCTAAAAAATAACGAGAGAAACAAACATACTCTAACTATTCAATTACATTCTAAGGTTAAAAATCAACAATTGGAGTGAATATTTTTTAAGCAGCCACGTTATAAGCATCAACGCATTTAAGTTTTGAAAAAATTGACCCTATAACACGTTTAATTCGTGTAGTAAATATAATACGAGAATATTATAGAAGTTTAGTTTACGTAAACTTTTAAATAATTCATATAAGAAGAAAAAATTATCATAGGAAGAAATATAACAAATAATAAATTTTTAATCATAAATTAAAAATTTATATTTTTCTATTTACTTTTTATTTAACTATTTTAAAAATTTACGCAATCGAAGTCATATTTATTTATTTTATTACATTCTTGATATTTATTCAATCAATACGATATAATAATTCTATTTATTTTAAAATATACTCTATCAAGAAGTCTAAACTTAAAATAAATAAATAAATAAAATATTTATTTAATATACCCCTTATACGATAATAATTATATGATTAGTGATATTTTGTATAAATGGTGCGTGCACACACACCGTATATATCCCCAATGAAAAGGGTCTTACCCGAATCCTATTTGGCATTGGCATCGGCATCGAATAGCGGTCCCAATTCCAAATACGAAAGTGTGGTTATTTGTGCACCTTACAATAATAATAAAGATGAGATCAAAGTTGCGGACCAAAATCACTGACCAATCCCAAGAAGATGCTCTGAAATATTAAATTATTATTAATTAAAATTTATCAAAAATTATATAAATTTTACTTTTCTTTCTTTTTAAATTGATATTTTTCTTCATATTTTTATAATTTTTAATAAATAATAAAAAGTATGTTACCATATTTCAATTAAAACATGCCTTTTTAATGGTCCAGGCAAATTCCACGCCGAGCGTCGTTATCAAACACAAGCAAAGTGCCACTGGACCTTCTCTAGCCACCCTAGCCTAAGAATCAAAAGAATATGTTCTAATTCCAAATTCTGACAATTAAGCTTTTACAATCATAATGTTCTAATGCTAATGGGGAATTATTTTTGTCTCCATGTTTACATTAAATTTGGATATTACCAGAATTAATCTATGTGTAAAAATAATTATATTTAGGCGATAAAATAATTACTTTCTGAAATGCAAATTTATTCTTTATAAATTTCTCAGAGTTAGTTCTTATTAACAGAAAAAATAACTCTGTTTTCTTAAATTCAATTCTTCTGTAGAATTGACTTGAAGATTCAAACAGTTTTGCGAACACATTTTTGTCGTGCAATTTAATTTGGAAACAATTATGAAATTCAACCATATAAACATTAGTCTTTTTTTCAATAACTTAAAAAACAAGTTACATATAGTTTTTTATTACGATATTTAATTTACATCGATAGGAACTTGTTTTTATGATATCTTTTCATTTTAAGCATCTTTTAAAATAATAATGTAATAAAAAATATACTATCCGATCATTAACAAAAGGAAATTATTCTAAACTAATAGAAACAAACGGCATATATATCGCATAAATGAATGGTTTCGTTGAAATGGAATATACGAAGATTCGTAGCAAAAGCAAGCCTCACGCCTTGTTTACCACTACATCATTGACCATTGCAACAACAAAGAGTAAATTAGGGTATACAAAGGATAAAGTCAAAAATAATTTTTAAAAACAAGTTTCTAAGAATTCAACACAAATCTTATCCGTACGATCAGAATCTATATAATGCATGCATGTGGTCCATTCAAATGCAGAAAAATGGGTGAATTTTGCAAAAGGGGTCCTCGTTGATCAGTGCACGAGACTTTGAACATTTAAATGATTTAATGCTATTTAACACAAACTGATTCAATGCGTGGGAGAAGAATGACAACACTCAAACGGTGATTATGACAATGCCTATTGTTGGAGCATTTTTATTCTTTTTTTTGGTGATTTTCACAGTAACTGCTTATTGGAAATTCTTTTTTTTAATTTTATAATGATTTTACTTCATTAAAAAATTAAAACGGGAAAAGTAATCATACAAAATTATGTGTCATTGTTGTACAGTGAGAAATATGTAGAGTAATGAAAAAAAAACAATTTGTTTTGAGAATATATCTTAAACAGATAATAAAATTGTTTCGAGACGAAGTTATACCAACAATCCTTAAAACATGATGTGCGATTAGAATAATTAAATAATAATGATAAAGTTAATATTATAAATTTACGAAGGACTAGTTTGTAAAATCATAAGTTAAATGTTTGAGCACTCAATGCATGTAATGAGAATATATATTGATCCTGATTCGATTATATACAGTGATTTGTAAAATAAAAAACACATAAGCGTATTTTCATTATAATATGTGGATAATTTTTATTATATATAGTGATTTGCATTGTACCATTTAAAATAATATAGCTAATGATAGATAATAATTTGCATAACATTAATTTCATTTTACATTTAATAAATAAAACAACACATGAATACGAGGTGTGTTCCCTAGGTTGGATAATAAGGTACCAGTGCCTGAATCTTAACTCTTTTAGAACTCTTGTCGTTGATATAATACGATAATAATAATAATAATAATAAACTAGGATCATCGAATAAGAATTTAATAAGATAATATCTGATCTGTTTGTTTTGTTTGGGTCTTTGATCCGTTTAATATAAAAGAAAATAAAAATATGATGTATTGTTCTTTTACTGTTAATGTGTGTTAAAATAATAAATTAGATACAATATCTTATATTTGATTTTATTTTAAATTTTTAAAGGATAAAATTTTCACTAGGATATAAGAATTAGCAAGTTTAATAGATTTATTATATGAAGTTGGTTAAATAAACATTGAAATAAAAAACTATAAAAGATTAAGATAAATTTTTATTTTATTTGATGCACGCTAAATATTATCTTTTAAATGACTCAAAAATAAAATAAAATAAACCATTATATTACATTTTCTTGTCACATCTACCAAATTTTACCTGTCCATTACCTATCTCTTCGTTATGTTCATTGAATCTAATCATTATTTCTAAAAACGATATTCAACTGAAATTTATTCCAATCATTATAAACAACAATAAAGTAAATTTGGTAAAATATATTTAAATCATAAAAAATAATTAAAGTACACATTTTTAAAGATATTTTTACTGTAAAATTTATGATGACAATGTATGCATAAAAATAAGTGTAATAATCAATTCAAAGATATTAATTAAAATAAAAATACAAAATTAATTAATTTTTAGATTACAACTATATTATTATTAAACAAGTAAATCAACTGAAAAAATTTTGTTTTATATTTAAAAATGAAAAATATATATAACTTGCTTATAACATATTTTTCAAGAGAAATAATTGTCTAATTCTAAAAAATACTAAAAATGAACGTCTACATGTTTTTAAAATAATGTAAACTAAATATATACCTATACTTCACAAATCCTAAATGCCAATGGGAATTTGTCAAAATACAAAAAGAAATGTTGATTTTTAGGAGCATCAATAGTTAATTGAAAATGATATAAATTAAATGTGGAAAGATTGACAGCACAGATACAAAACTGGTTAATTTCAATTTTGTTTAGTTTTCTTTTCAAGAAATTGATATAATAACTATCTGGCACATGTACACAAATATTTTGAAAGACAAGCAAAAATATAAATATTTTTCAAAATAATATTTCGATATATGAAATAATGTTTAACTAAAGATAATGTACATTCAAAACAAAATTTTGAAAAATAGAATTTGATATATGTAATAAAAAATAGTTTCGAAGAAATTTGAATACTGTAGAAAGCACTGGGAATACAAGTGATTGAAATTAAAAAAAAAGAAGATTTTAATATAAAGAATTGAAAAAAGAAAGAAAGTTAAGGATATGTCAATATAAAAAGATAACTAATAAATTTAGAATACTTTGATATTATAGAATCAATGATAATAGAAGAAATAGATCCACTTGACTTAAAGAATTTGACTTTAGAAATGAAATAATAGAATGGTTTTATTTTTGGTGCATGACTGCGTTCGTAGGTGGAATGTCTCTCTCTCTCTCTCTCTCTCTCTCTCTCTTTCCCTGAACCGCGCGAAACACGTCTAAGTTCCTTCAAAACGAAAAGCAGTGTTTGAAACGAAGTGGTTATTCTCGACCACCTTTCCCTATAAATAGCCTCAAAACCAAACAATCCCCACCCCCGCCTCCATCTCTTTTCTCCTCATTACATCGTCACTCTAACCCTATCCTCTCTTCTCTTCTCTTGTCTTCATTCACCACCACACGTTTAAACCACACCTTTCAATCTCTCTCTCTCCCCTCCAATATTCTCATTCTCTCTGATTTTCCCAATTTCCATGAAAGCCTCTGCCTTGATTTGATTTCAGTCCCGTCTACGTCTCTTCTTTTCCGTGCTTTTGAGGACCCAACATGGCAATTCCCTTCCCCCATTTCATCGCTTCGGAGAAAGCAGCCATGGAAGCTGGTCTTCTCCTTCCTTCTTCTCCCTCTGTGATTCTCACCCAAGACGATTTGAAGAAGATCGCCGCCTACAAAGCCGTCGAGTACGTTGAATCCGGCATGGTCCTCGGCCTCGGAACCGGCTCCACGGCCAAGCACGCCGTCGACCGAATCGGCGAGCTTCTCCGACAGGGCAAGCTCAAGGATATCATAGGAATACCCACCTCCAAGAAGACCGAAGAACAGGCCCTATCGCTTGGGATTACCTTGTCGGATCTCGATTCCCACCCTGTCGTTGATCTTGCCATTGACGGTGCCGATGAGGTTGACCCTTTTTTGAACCTGGTGAAGGGTCGTGGTGGCTCCCTCTTGAGGGAGAAGATGGTGGAGGGTGCGTGTAAGAAGTTCGTGGTGATTGTGGACGAGTCAAAGTTGGTGAACTATTTGGGGGGCAGTGGTTTGGCTATGCCCGTTGAGGTTATACAGTTTTGTTGGAAGTTCACTGCTGATAGGTTGCAGAAGCTGTTTGAGGAATCTGGTTGTGTTGCAAAGCTCAGGACTTCTGGGGAAAAGGACGAACCTTTTCTCACGGATAATGGGAACTATATTGTCGATTTGTATTTCAAGAAGAGTATTGGGGATTTGAAGGCTGCCAGTGATGCCGTTTTGCAACTTGCTGGAGTTGTGGAGCATGGGATGTTCCTGGACATGGCTACCACTGTTATTGTTGCAGGTGAACTTGGCCTAACCGTGAAGAATAAGTAGTTGGATCTTTCAACCAGATATTTAGATGAATAATGTAGGTGAAATGGAGGCAGGGTAGACTCAAGGTAGTTTCATTGGTCAAGGTTAATGCTTTGACACGGCCTTCTAAATTCTAACACATTATATATGGTGTAGGGAGTGGATGGGAGGTTGAGGGGTGGGGGTTCGTGAAATCCTTTTATTATTGAATACAATTGTTGGGGAAAGTATCTTAATTCTCCTCTAGTTTTGTTTATTTTTTAAACTTAGATTTTGAGCCAGCAGAAAGAAAATGGAGAGCTAATATTAATCTCATGCAATGGCTGTTGTGTGGTGCCGAATCAGTTGTCCGCGCAATTTGTTGTTGAATTGACAGTGTTTAACATATTGAACTTATCCAAGTCCAATTTTGTCCATTTTCAACCTCTAATTTGCCGTTATGGAATTGTATGATTAGTATTTAGTCATTATATAGCTGCAAAACTACCTTCTCTGTTGTTGTCAATATTTATTTGTGATTTATAAACCGGTTTTAGCCAGTTGAATCCATTTAATTACTGTTTGGACTTAATGATAATCTGATTAATAGTTAAAGTTTTCACCTGCAACCTTATTGTAGTTATGCTTGTTAACTAGGACTCGTGTTTAATTTACCTTCTGTGTAGCTTGTCACTTGTGCAGCGAACAATTGTGGGGGGTAATGTGTTGAAGGAAAAAACCGTAGTTATCTATTCATTGACTGTCCAGATCATGTAAATCCTGCTGAATTTTTGGCTGATCATATATCCGTAGACTACAGTTCTGCTGATAGTGTCTATTCCTCTCAAAAAAGGATTGATGGTCTTGTTGAGTCATTCTCACAGAGTTTCAACTGTAATATATGCAACTCCAATTACTATAGATGATTTCTCAAAAAGTAGAAAGAAAATTAGCAAGAGGACTGTAGCAAAGAAGTCGGGAGGTTGGTGGAAGCAGTTTCGGTTGCTTATGTGAGACAGGAGGATCTCTTTTTCTCACAGCTCACTGTGCGGGAATCATTGTCTCTTACTATAGAACTCCAGCTTCCCAGTATATCTTCTGCTGAAGAGAGAGATGAATACGTGAACAATCTCCTTTTCAAACTAGGCTTGGTGAGATTCCGTCATATCCTCTAACTTGTGTTGGTGACGAAGTAGTTACTGGGAGTATATTGGAATATAGGAACAGTTTTGAGTAGTTTTTTTCAACAAACACCTGTATATCTTCCTTGAAAAACGAATTTTGATTCATCCATTTTAGATGCTTGCCCTTTATTGTCACATGTTTCAAAATCAGAATCACCATTAGAAGTTACTGGTGTATCTTATGTAATTTTTTCAGCTTTCCTCTTTCAAATTTATTATTGAAAATGTGTTACTCTTGTTGGATAGCCCTATGTTACTGATATTACTCCCTTTGGTATCTGTATGCCTTTGCTTAAGCATGTTTGACAAACTACTTTGGCATGGCATATTAATCTCCTGACGGAATTGATTAGTTCTGAGCTGGAGATTGTATTTTATGCCTTGGATTGCTGAATATCTTGGGTGCTTATGATTGCAAAATCTGATAAGGGGACCAAGTCAATTCTACTGATTGCATGGGGTTACATGTGATTGTTGTTATCTGCTGATGAATTGATAAATTGAAATACTGATCATGTTATACAGATCTAGTAAGACTGGAGGCATGGGCTTCTAATTGGAGGAGATTTTTAAGCATCCTCACAAAGTGGAGTATCAAGGTGGAATAAAGTTTTTGATAGTGAATTAACAGATAGTTTGACTGATATGGTGGCAGGAGGATGTAATTTAGCATGCTCAAATGTAACAAATAGTTTTGAGCCAAAAAGGTTATCATAAATAGTGAAAAAAGAAGAAGAAAGTTGTAGATACTAAAATGTTTCAAGGGGAGTAGACCGCAGTTCAATTATTAGTTTAAGTGCTTTTATTATGCTTCTGTGGAAACAAGGAAAATCGGTTATATTTCACTCTGATATACTCCTGCAACTGGGAAGCATAATCATAAATAACAAAAATGACATGTAGATATTGGCATGTTTCAACTAGGAGCTTACAGCATATTTATAAGAAATTCTTATATTTCAAACACTTACATTATCATTCTGATAACAAAAGAGGGGAAAAAACCCATGCAATTCAAGCTGATGTGTCTGCTAATGGATACTATCAGTTGTACATGAAAAGTCAGAGATATCACTAAAGGGCCCTTGTCCAAGAAACTGAGTAAGATTTGATTTTCATCATATATGGGGTATACTGAAAAAACATCTTGCTATGTTGGTATACTGAAAGAACATTCAGTTAATGTGTTTTTTAGACAATTTAGTTGCTCATGCTTATCATGATTTCCCGTCTAAACAGTTTTTGAAAATTCAGAGAGAAGCCAGATATGTTGCTGAGGAAGAGAAATGGAAACGTGGTTGCAGGGATTTTGTTTGAGTGTTCTGCATACAGAGTAGTACTGAGCTTTCAAGTGATCATGTGAGTAGAAAGAAATATATGGTGATTGGTCAAAAGTAACTAGTCTAAGCAGACTAGACGTGCCTCAGAAGTATTCTTCGTGTACAATAATATAATTAATAGAGTAAAGCAAAATGTAATGCTTTAATATTATACTATATGATGTCCGTCAAAATTTTGTAAGAATTTTCTGTGCATTTTTTACAATTTAAAACTTACTTTTGGCTTTTGCTTTTAGTATTAGTAAATTTAAAAGTTAAATAAATGTATGTAATTGGAGTTATTGTGATTTGTGTATTCTTTCAGTTAATTTATTAATTATTTTGCCAAACATAACCTAAGGTTTTGCACCACCTGAAATCACATTTGGTGAAAGAAGTAGATTTGTATAACGTTGTTGTTGTTTGGATAAAAGTTTTAGATTCTTATTATTAATATATACAGTCAATAGGTTTGTTTTCAAGAAAACTGAAACTTAGTTTTTCATTTTTAACTAAATATAATTAAATTTAAGTGTTGTATCTATTATCCGTAGAATTTGAAGGCTGCAGGTGAGAGGATGTTCTTAGGCATAGCTGCCACTACTACAGGTGAACTTGGGCTAATGGTGAAAATAATCTATTTGTTTTAAATTTTGGTAAAAATAATTTTAAAAGAAATGAGATTAAAGGAATTAATTTCTGTTTGGAAATGATGAAATGTTAAAAATTTAAAAGAAATAATTTTTAATTGGACGATAAGATATAGAATATCTTCTGAAGTGTAAACAGACTTTGTGGGGTCTATATGATTTATTTATTTATTTGATTTTCTACGAAGATAAGGTTGATCTATAATCCCTTGAATCCTGGAGTTGAATAAATAAGTTAATTGAGTTGATTCCACCAAGGTGTTAGGAATATTTTCATTTTCATTTTCACTCGAAGGATGCTTTAAAGTGGAACGTTGTTTGTGGGGTAGCATAACATAGTAGATAGCAGAACAGTGGTTTTTCACTAACTAAAGAGTTGTGAAAAAATCAAATTATTGTATATAATATTACGTATGGTTAATTTTTAATGATTTAAATAATAAAATATATATAAAAACACATTTTAAAGTTGATGCCGTTGTAGGGAGAAAGAGTAAAAGACAAAGTAAGTTTAACTCCAAGCTTTGATCAAGAAGTGTGTCCAGAAAGCAATCAAAATTGTTCAGTTTACAATGTAAATTATGATCCACATGCCACTACCAATCTTCCAAATTAAGTCTCCATCCCAAAACTGCTTTTCTATCTTTTTCGCTTTTACTTCCATATTTGTCTACTTTCTTGGAAACTTGGTGCTTGTAATAAGATTCCGTGCACCTTTTTTTTTTTTTTTTTTTTTTTGCTTTTGTTCTCATGAATTTTCCTTTTGGAACGTTAGAATTCCACTTCTCACTAGCTCCCTTTTGACAAGAGTTCAATGTTTTCTATAATTACACGAGTCCTCAACTCTCACGTTGCTAAAAGTAACTCTAAATAGATGCAGAAGTAGTACTGCACTTCAACCACAATTCACAAACTTGCTGGATCAGCATCCACCGATCATGGCTGGAACATCCTCCAAGACCCCCATTGAAATAGTAAGCGATAATTTTGCTTCTGCAGCTTGTTCTCCTCTCACTTCTGCTGCTATACCTACAACACCCACCCCATCTTCAGCCTCTAAGTATCCCAAAAATGCCATATCCATTCACTCATTTTCAGTTCAAGCCAAGAGAAGGTTGTTCATGGGTTCACAACGTGACATAGAGGACTACGGAAATTTTCCGAGTACTAGGAAGAAGCGGTCAAGAGTAGCTGACACTTTGCTCCACAGGTTTAGGAGCAAGAAGGGCTTGTTTGTCACTGATGTTACCAAGACAGAATGGTGTGAAAAGCAAATGGAATTTTCTCTTTTTCATGAAGAGTGGAAGAACAATGCTGGTCAGGAATGGTGCAGCCAAAAGCAAATGGATTTGGCTCTTGTTTTTAGAGGAGGAAGGGAGAAAAATGAAGCTATGAGAGCTGGTATGGTTCGGCATGTTCAACTCGTGAAGGAGATTCAAGCAACCGTGAAAGTGAAGGTGAAGTCACGTGAAGATGTTATGGCACTAAAGCTTGTTAATTTCATCAATGGGGTGAATCAATTGCTGTTTGAAGGATTAACCCGTGAGCTTCCAATAGTAAGCTTTGCTTTTGCACAAGGCATATGGATGGTTGGAAAGATTGATGAGGTTTGCATGCCTAAGTCAAAAAAAGATCATAACCCAATACTAGTTGAAACCAAGACTCGTTTCCAGGATACAGTTCCTTCAGAACCTCAAAAAAGAAATGGAAAGATTCAGTTAATGTGTTACAAGTATTTGTGGGACAATTTAGTTGCTCATGCTCATCATGGTTTCCCTTCTAAACAGTTCTTCGATTATTTTGAGCTAAGTCCTCAACGAGCACTAAGTGAAGATCTACTAGCAGCATGTTTTGACTCTGGAATCTCAGCGTTGACCCTTGATGAATTGGTGATATGTTACCAAAATACATGGAAAATGCTGCCGCGTGCTCATAATAAACTAGTGCTGAGATATGAATCTCAAAGAGATCAATCAGTGCTGGATGAAGAAAAATTTGCATATAATGATGGCTGGATAAGGAGGCAAATCAAGAGTTGTCTTGAGTTTTGGCTTGAACAGCGAGAAGCCACTTATGTTGCTGAGGAAGAGGAATGGAAGTGTAGGTACTGTGATTTTGCTTCTGAGTGTCCAGCATGTTACACTGATTCTGAGGCACAGAAACTTTCAAGCGATTACTCAAGTGAGTAGGAAGAAATGTAATGTAGGGAAGTAGTGTACCCAGAGAAAAAACAAAAGTGATGGCTCTAAAGCACCTAGCCATGCCTTGGAGAAGTATTCTTCATGTACAATAATATTATAATTAGAGCAATGCAAAAATTAGAGCTTTGATGTTATGATATGTATTAACAATAAAATTTCTGTAGTAATTTTATATATTATTTTGACAATTTAGAATTAGCTGTTATCTTTTGTTTTCATTCGTTTTTTTAAAATTACGTTATTCATGCAAGTATAATAATCACTGTTTATTGTAACTATAATCATTATCATTTGAGAGAACAAACTAAAAAGAAAATTTGAACACAAATTAATAATTTAAAATTTTAAAAAATATAGAAGTAAATGCTAAAAAAATAATGAAGACTCGTATTATCCGAAAACAATAATAAGCTGTATGTTCGCATTAAAAAATAAAAGATAAAATTTAATTAATAATTATATTTTTTCAAAATAATTTGTTGGTTTTGAAAGAGATAGGTTGGCCTGTTTTTAAAAATGGACTAAAAATACTAATCTAACTTGTTTAAGGGTGGATTGAGCGGCTAATCCATCAAAAATTGAAAATTTGAAAATATGCAAAGTTGTTAGTGAATCAATTGGTCTAAATTAATGAAAAATAAAAATTAAAAACTTATAAATATATTAAATTATTAAATACATCTTGCTTATTTAAAATATATATATATATATATATATATATATAAGTTCAACGGGGTTAGTTTACCTCATTTTGTCACTAATCTACATTTTAGTAAAATAAGATAAACTAAACTAAGTAAATAAATGTGTAAGTCTCAACTTGACATATTACTTTAGGTAAATTAACTAAGCTACTCCATTAGATGAAGCCATATTATCATCCATGTATATACATGCTCTAAGTAAATGATATTTTATAATAATTTGACAAATTTAGGTTACAACCTTTAGATTAAAAATTCTTAAACACTGAACATCATGTATGTTAAGCCTTGGTCGAAGTAATTTATAAAGAAATTATAAAAAAAATTATAATTCTTATAAAAAGTTATTTTGTTTTAATAAATTATCCAGTATAACTTATTAAAATAGTTTTTTAATTCATTTAAAAAATTATGATCAAATATAAAATATCGACTTTAGTATAATAAAAAATATTAAACAATATTTAATTAAGTTTTTATTTCCTCGCCCTAAATGTTGGAGGGAAGAGATAGATATCATAATATTTAAAACTAAAATAAATAAAAAAAAGGGTCGACGCATAAACGTTGGGATGGGACCTATCGAATCCCATGTGAAAAAGCATATTGGGCCCACGTGGCCCTTGCCGGTGGTCACGTGCCTGGCCACTCACCCACTGGCAAAGCCCAAAGCCACGCCAAATTATCTATCAAAAACATTGCAATGAATGGGCCATATCTAAGGGACCCACCCATCACCTAATCTTATTCATTTTCACTAAATCTAATGCTAACTTAACAGAATGATGCTATGGTGAACCTAATCATACAAATGTTTTCTTCTTAATTTGTCTTCCTCCATTGACTATGTTTGAGCTTCATAAGTATCTTAATCCTATTCACCCTCATCAACATGTTGGTTCCTACCATTTCCTTGTCATAAATTGGTAACATTGTTGGGATTTTATTTTTCTTAATTTTTTTAAACAATAAAATAAGGTAAATATATATACTTTTAATGGTTTAAAACAAGTATAAATTGATATAAGAAAAATCTTAAAAACTGTAAAAGAAATTCCGTGAGAAATGCTTATTGTTTGTTTGTTTCCATCAATTTGTAGGCCAAGTGTGAATCTTTCGGTGCCAGACTGACAGCTCCATTATGGCCCATGTTGCACTTGTCTTGTTCCCTCCACACCTGTGCTTTTATTTGCTACACAAAATATTATATATATATATATATATATATATAGTTTTTTAATAAATAATTAATAATAAAAATATGATAGGAAAAATGTGTTGACAGTATTTTTATTTTATATACATATATATACTCACACATTAATACATGCTCTAACTGATAATAAAAAAAGTAACTGTTAAAATATTAAAATTATTAAAATGAATTTTAATTTTTTAATAAAATATTTGTTTATATTTATGATAGAAATGCGATTCTTATAAATGTAATTAAAAAATACTATCCATTACCTATACCAAACTTTATTGACTAAAGTGATAGTTACCATTGGTTAAATAATGAATATCATGGATGTTAGAAAAGTAAGATTTGCAGCAAGTGGATCGAAATAAGTTGAAGTTTGCAAAGATCACTTCAACAGGGCAACTTTTATTTGATGGGATGAAGAAATGGACATTGGACAAGACTATAAAAAGAAAAAGAAAATCATAAAAGAAAAGAAAAGAAAAGAAAAGTGAATGGGTCCACATCGCCTAACTAATGAGTGCAAGTGCGCCACCAGCACCAACACAAGTGTGATTTTAGTCAGTGTTTGTTAAGGTAATTGATTGTGCATTTAGGACAATTCATTAAATGCACTGTGAAGAAAAGCTGCCACGAAGAAACAGAGATTTAAGGCCTCAAAATTAAGTAAATGTCTAAGATAAAATATATTTTTTAATTTTCGTGAATATTCTATTATTAAATAAAATTATTAAATATTTTCTTCTATTTGAGACAATATATATATATATATATATATATAATATTTATTTTATTAAAATAAAAGAAAATTTATTAAAGATATACACAAATATTTTCATCATTAATTTTAATTAATACACCACATAATTTTTATAAATTTGAAATTGATATTAAATACATATTTATTCACTTTTAGAAAAGTCAAATTCAACATCTAAAATGTCAAAATTTATAAGCAATTAAAGACAACAAAACTCAATCTTTTATCAGGCAAATCACGGTATCAATTGAGATTTTATAGGTTTTAAATGAAAAGGAAAGTAGAGATGAGCCACTAAACAAGAGAAGAAAGTTATTAAGACATTGAATCCGCGTAGTAACAGTTGATATACCACCACTTAATTCACTGTTACACGGAACTAAACATGATTTAGGCTAATTAAAAATGATAAAAATCACACCCGCCTTTTTCGTTCCCCTCACGTCAATATTAACCTGTACACCCCATGTGATTCACTGACCTTTTATGGTTTCTGTTTGTTCCCATAAATCTCTGAAGTTGTGTTCTTTGGTTAGATGTAACCTCAACGAAGCACAAAGGGTTAACAACCGATTGAGACCGTCACAATGAATGTTGTGATGTGTGTTGGTGGTGTTGATTGATTGTTCCAACTCTTAAGACTTGGGTTGGACTCAGAATCCAAAATGGATGGGGTGGGGTGAGGTGAGGTGATCACTTTGCAGTGACTTGTGAAGTGAGTTTTTCTTGCAATGAAGGCCCTTTCCTTTAATGGGTTTTGGTTTTTGTTGTTTCTCTTCCCCATGTTGCTGTCTCTCTGCTCAATTTCAGCTTTTTCTCCAACTGGGTCGGTTAAGTTTATCTTAGGTTGGTGTTTCTCTTTCATTTTGATTTGTGAATATGGTGATGGGTTTGGTGTAGATCTTGTGAAGTTGTGGACTTGGGAGGGAAAGATCAAAACTTGATGTCAGCTTTTGCTTCATTTCATCTTGTTGGGTTTTCTCCAACATGCAATTTAAACATGGGAATTTTGGGGTACCTTGTGTTTGCATATTGGCTTGTGGGGTGGTTTCTTCTGTTTTGCTTTGCTTTCAAGTGTCGTTAATTGTATATATGTTTTGTTGTCTGTTTCCACTTTTCAGGAGGAGAAGAGAATTTGGGTCCATGGAAGAGTGAGTTCACACAAGTGGCTCCGGCACCAGGGCCTAAAAGTGGGGATGTTCTTCTTCTGGCGGCAAACAGGACCGAAAGGCCTGACATTCTGCGAGGATTTCGACGTTATCATGGTGGTTGGGATATTGCAGATCAGCATTATTGGGCTGTAAGTGCTGTGGTTCATTCCTTGAACATCGTGTTTTACAAAGGACGGGTGATTCAGTATATTCTTAGTGCCAAATCCATATTTAGAAATGATGTTCTGGCATGTTGCCTTACATTTCTTGTTGAGCATCCTAGATCTTTGGTGTAGTTGATTGAAGTGGAGAGTGTTCTTGTTTAACTGTCTGTCTACTTGTATCTATATTGCATGCCATTAGGAAATGTGAAGTGAATTCTCATCATGCTTGAGGTCTGGTAGTAACCACGGAAAATTTTGAAACTCGAGTGATGGGAAGCATGAGTTATATAATTTCTACAGATATTATTTGGGTTATGAAAATGACTTATATGACTCCTATAAGTTCTTTTTAGTGTATTCCAATTAATGTCTTAATGAAGCTTATCTATTTTATGAATTTCTCATGTAATAAGAAGTTATTGAATAAGTTCTTAAGTTATTTATCCACAATGCACCATTACTATGTGCCTACTTACCACCTTTTAGTTTTAGCACATTGAAGTCATGATGGGCATTGCCCATTGGCCCCTTCTGTTTAATTAACAGATGCAGATTACATCTATACCTAGTCTGGCTTCTGTCTTGAAGTCTAATTTTCATTCCATTTCCATTGTTTTTTGTTCTCCTTGAAATTATATTTTGTTGAAGTTTGGAGTCTATTGCTTAGTTACTTTGTTGTTCCACCTTCAGAAGATTATTCTTTTTCTCACTTCAATTAACCACTATATTTGCAGTCAGTTGGATTCACTGGTGTGGCTGGTTTTATTCTTGCTGTCCTATGGTTTATCTCGTTCGGATTGGCGCTTGCTATTCATCTATGCTGTGGATGGGGTATTAACATCAAGGACAAAGGATCGAGTCGTTCGCAAAGGATTTGTCTTATACTGCTTGTATTGTTCACTGTTGCTGCAGCGTAAGACTCTATGTTATTTTAATGTTTCCCTTGTTAACTTCTTTGTGAGATGCATTATTTCCTTACAATTCTCCTTGTTTTATCTGTCAAAATTTCAAACGTGGTCACTAACGTGCCTCGTTTCCTTAATCACACAGAACTGGATGTATCCTCCTTTCTGTTGGGCAGGATAAGTTCCATGGTGAAGCTTTGGATACCCTCCATTATTTTGTCAATCAGTCAGATTATACGGTGCAGACTCTAAGAAATGTCACTGAGTACCTCTCCCTCGCAAAAACTATCAATGTCACTCAGATGCTTCTTCCGTCTGATGTCATGGATGGTATTGACAAGCTGAACGTGGATCTAAATACTGCAGCAGATACACTTTCTGAAAAGACAAATGAAAATTCAGTTAAAATTCGAGGAGTATTCAACGATGTGTATGCGATCATAAAACTGAGAATCCCTCATTCTAGAATTTATTATTCTCTCCCCCCTATAACACTAAACTGTGCACATTTTGTAGGCGTCTAGCTCTGTATGTTGTGGCAGCAGTGATGCTTCTTCTGGCTCTAATTGGACTCCGTATGTGTTGATCATAACATGTTGAATAAATTGAGCTAAGTTTATATTTATATTCGAGAACTATTGGTTATAACTTTCTTGTATTTTTTGCAGTCCTGTCTGTCCTTGGATATCAACATGCAATCCTCATGTGAGTTACATTCCAGAACTATTTGCTTGTGTGTTGATCATAGCTGGAGGATTCTTGTTATGTTCTTTTATCTGATTTTAAAACGTTTTGCAGATTTGTTATCACTGGATGGTTACTGGTTGCAACCACATTCATACTTTGTGGAGTATTCATGATCCTTAATAAGTAAGCCATCGTATCTAAGAGATCGCAGTTTAATAGATTGGCAAGAACTATTCACTTTCTTGGCTCCCTTTAGGCATTCGTTTATTTACCTTTGTAAAGTGTTCTGCATTCATTGCATTGGATCTCTCCCCCCCCCCCCCCCCCTCCTTTGCCTTCTAACTTATTCCATCACAAAATGCAACCGGAACTGATGATATCCAAATGAAATCCAATTATCTTTATGTTATGGAGATTTCTCTGTTAAAAGCTAACATTATCATCTAAACCTGATGAGTAAATTATTTCTATTACAGTGCAATTTCTGACACCTGTATGGCCATGGGAGAATGGGTAGCAAATCCACACACTGAATCTGCTCTTAGTAATGTCCTTCCATGTGTTGATCAGAGAACCACAAACAAAACACTTTTTCAAAGTAAACAAGTGGTCACCAATATTGCAAGTGTTGTTAATCGGTTCATCTATAACACTGCAAACATAAATGCAACACAAGGTAGTTTTGGCTACTACAATCAGTCTGGGCCTTCAATGCCATCGTTGTGCTACCCCTTTGATACTCAGTTTCAAGAGCGCCAATGTACGGCCCAAGAAGTTTCCTCTGCCAATGCTTCAATGGTAATTTTTTCATCACTTGACTTGATTATTGAGCTCTGCCACTTGTTAGCTTTCTTTACCTTCCTCCCCTCCAACCAAGAACTCATGTATGTGTTTGTGACAGAGAGAAATGTTAACTCTTTTTTAAGTTTTGGATTCTCAGTTGAATGCTGAAAGTGGTGAGATTAGACTACAATGAACTATCTGTATATCAAATCATTTGATTGATGGGCAATGATATTGGTATTTCTGTACATAGATGGTTGATGACTTGACGTGTATTGTACCAAATGACCATAGCATAGCCTATACCTGAAAATATTTTATATAACTTATAACTATTATGATTTTTTGCCAGGGGGAAATCAGATGAAAATAATTCTCTCTAAATTATGCTCTTCAATTGTTCTAAATCTTTTGTATTATGTTCCAGTGTTTTCTGCCAACTATATAACACAGAATCTCATTAAAAATCTTTGTTTAAACTATTCAGGTGTGGAAGAACTATGAATGTGAGGTATCTGAATCTGGTATTTGCACCACAGTTGGCAGGGTGACCCCTGAGATTTACTTACAGTTAGTGGCTGCGGTGAACGAAAGCTATGCATTGGAACATTATACTCCACCTTTACTTAGCCTTCAGAATTGCAATTTTGTCAGGGATGCATTCACAAGAATCACTTTGAGTTACTGTCCTCCGTTGAACCATTACCTTAAGATTATCAATGTAGGACTTGGCCTCGTTTCAGTTGGTGTTCTGCTCTGTCTTGTTCTCTGGATCCTCTATGCAAACCGCCCCCGAAGGGAGGAAGCGTTTGAGAAGTTATCCTTACCAGAAAAAATAAAGAATATATTTAAGAATAACCAAAACCGCACAAATTTTTCTTTGTCAAATGCAGATAGTGAAGTATAGATTGTATAATAGAAAATAAGTTGATAAAGTAGACTACTATTGTTTTTCTGTACCCTTACGGGAAGAAACAAAGGTGGAGCGAAGCTTCATCTTGTGTTCGATGAGAATAGCCAAAGCAGTGTATTGTATACATTTTGTCCATATATAGAAAAAGCAATTTTATTTTGTTTATAGCTTTAGAATTTAAATGCAAACAATTGAAAATCATGACTTAATAAAGCGTAACTAATAAGAACCCTCTTTTCTTTTTACATGACATTAATGGAAAACGAAATCTCCGTCTCCAAGAACAACCAAGTAACTGAAAATTTACGCTACAAATGCCATTGCCACAGCCAGAGTCTCAAAGTTCAGAAGGGTCAAACACAATTCTTTCATCGTCAACGCGAAGGGTGTTGTCATGCGCAGCTAGAACATCACTGACGCCATGAACGACAACCTTGTCATTGAAGAACACGTCCGGGAAGAAAACCGGAACTCCATTTAGAATCAAAACGCCGTCAGATCTAGTGATATTGATGGCGAAGCCCTCCAAGAAAGTTCGCAGCTCCGAACCATCGCCCAAGTCCACCAGATCGTTCCACAGAAGCCTGCACGGCACCACATGCCGACGGAAGAACGATGGATACTCGCTGAAATCGCCGATGCGGTTCGCCACCGTTTCATCCGCCGGAGCAAACACCGTTATTCCACTCTGCTCCGCCACGCCCGATAGTTGCATTCCCAGAAAGGAAGCCATGGTAGAGTATCCCCCGGATCTTAGGGTTTCAATGGCTTGGTCGAAGGAATCGGAGGAACTCTGAGTGTGGTTCTTCCCTGAACACGAGGAATTCGAATTTGGATTAGGTCTTTGGTTATTGAACTGAAAACTAGGGTCGAAGAACCTCTCGGTTCCGTAGACTAGCAGAAAACCATCGTCGTAAATGGGCGATTCCGTGAGTTTGATGTTGTTGAGAGATGCTACGCGCTCGGAAGGTGACGTCGTGACGGTTAGAGACTGCCCGGGGAGCATAGTCGGGATCCTGGCGCCGGCGGGGAGTAGACGGAGACTCGCCGGCGGAAGAGGAAGCGGCGCCAAGTGGAAGCGGAGTAGGTCGAGGGATGGCTGACCGGATTTCTTGAATGCGGAGTCGGAGGGAGCGAAGACGGTGGCGGAAGGGGATTGTTCGAGAAGGTTTTCGGCGACGATTTCGAGTGTGAGTGCCATGGAAACGAAGCTTGAATCGGAGAGAATGTCGGCGGCGTCGAATATGGCTTCGCGCGGAAGAGCGAAGCAGAGAGAGAAGAAGGGCGAGAGAAGGAGGAGGAGCGCGAGCGTGGACGCCATTGATGAAGCTCGAGATTTGGCGGGAAATGGATACTTCAACGTGGCGTTCCACTATTGGACGCAACGAGGAAGTAGTTAGAAAGATCGTTAGCCGTTTCTTGCGGAAAGACAGAAACGCCCCCTTTCCATTCAATAAATACTATCATTTTTCTTTTTTCTTGAAACCAATAAAATGCTCCATATTTCTGTTTTTAATTTTATTAAATTTTTATCATTTGAATTAATCTAAATTTGATTCTGATTTAAAATTAAAAGTAATTCGAGTTAGATTTTTATTTTTTTTTGCTAAAAGTTAGATTAACTTTTTCGTTATAATAAATAAAATAAAAAAGCCAATATAAAGTAATAAACAAATCAATAACAAAAGGACCTAATTTAATAAAAAATATTATTTTTTTATTTTACTTTACTTTTTGATATTTTTTTACTTACATGGAATTAAATTAATTTCTGAATACAGAACATATTATTTTACTTTTGTATAATTTTTGGCATTTGATTTTTATATTTTTACATTATTATTTTGTCTCCTGAATGCATATGAAGAGATACATATTTTAATAATGGGAATTATTTTTTTTAAATTCCGTATTTTTTTATGAAAATGTTGAAATCTTGAATGGAAAAGAGATGTCACCAGCGAAAAAAAAAAATTAGAAGTTCATAGGTTTCAATTTTTTTTAATTCCAACATGTTTCTTTTTATTTTTTTTCTTCTTTTTAAAAATCAATATAAAAATTAAGAATAAAAAAGATATTTTTCACTATTTCTTACATCATAAACAATAAAAATAACTAACATATCTCTAACTACAAATTAAAATAAAAATGATTTATAAAATAAAACAACCCCCTTTATATTTTCAATTAAAGTGATCAAGTACATCATTAATGCCAAAAATAATGTATATGATATTTAACAGAAAAACATTTTTATTTTTCTTGTGAAATCCAAAAACACAGTGTAGAGTAGTGCTTTCATATTCTTAATCATAATGATTAATTTGTGATTCTTCCGCGGCTTCGTTTATAAGGAAGCGTCTTGGGTGGCAATAAGAATAGTAAAATCTAGCGTTGCAGCAACAACAAAAATAACTACATCTCTTGTCACTCCTAATTTGGCCAGAAAGTTAGTTATAGTGGCATAGTTAGCTTTTATCATGCACCACATCAATTATTTCAGCTTTTAAGAGAATAACTCCAAAATAGCAATCCATTTTGAGTTTTTATTTTCTTTAATAATGGCAGCACGAAAGTTTGAATTTATAATCCAAATTAAAAAATCTACCAACTCTAACTTGACAATAAACACGTATATATAGTTTCTGGCCATGTTGGCTTTTTATCTTTTGACTAAAATGTTTCTAAATAAGTCAAAATCAGTTTCATGATGCACCATCTTTGATGTTCTTCCGTGCACATACAAACTCCTACATTAGTTTGGTCGTTCACCTACACAATAATTCGAATCTGATTATTTGTACCACAAGATTTGCATAGTCCTTCATGATTAGAATGGAGCAGGAGCAAAAAGAACCACAATAATCCCAATATTATATATACGTATATAGAGAGAAGGTGAGATCAAATATTAAATGGGATATGTTGACGTACATTATGCATGAGGAAAGTCAATATCGATCCTTCGACTTTGCCCAACCAAACCAGTCAAACATCATAATTGTTGTGAGTTAACCTAATGCTTATATATATGGTCTTATGATAATTATATTTCTTGAATTATAGAATCTATGACGACGCAAAGTGATATTTGATTCAACGACCAGAGTGTTTTTGTTTATAGGTATTTTGGGTTGCATGCAATGGTCTAATATACTTTTTATATTCAATTCATATAATATAATGAAACTTCCAATTAAGACTATACATATCAAAGTTTCTTAAATAAATATTTGAGGGAAGGCTCAAATAGTAGGATGGGTTTAGATTAAGGAGCCCACAAGACTCAACGAAAAGGAAAAGGAGAATGGTGAATGAGAAAGGAACAAAAAAATAAACATTAGATGGCAGTTGAATACAAGCAATCTCTATGAGGTCTGTCTACTCTTAACCTACCTCAAGGCGACAGTTAACTAAAAATTAAGGTACGTAAGATGTAGTATTAGAAATTAAAGGGGAGAGAAATTATTCAAACATTTTAATCGAAGCAATCTTAAATTTTTCGAATTTTTATGTATTTACTGAAATGATAGTACACTGGATGTCGTTTTTGTCTTATAAACCAGCCATGCATGTATTATACTTTTATCTTATATCACAACCGACATTTTTACTTTCACTTTAGCATAAAGCTTTGTGTAAGTATACAAAAACAACTAAGCCTTAATTATTGTCAATAAAAGGAGTTTTTTTTATAAAAAAAACAATGAAAAGAAAATTATTTACATTTTATTGTTTTTACTTAATGGGTTTGGTGACAGAGGAAAATGATATCAAGGAAAGCACATAAGATGGAAATCGTCCTAAGAAATTGTCATTTATCGCATGAGGTCATCTGTTGTCTGGTTTCTTTTTGTATGTAACTGGTCTATCCATTTTTATGAGAATATACACTTATATCATTTTGTTAATAAAAAAAAACTGCTCAATCTTGAACAACATTGATAAAAACAGGAATGGCATGCACTCCATATAATAATAATAATAAATAAAAAAACTGCTCAATAACATTGTCGACCTTTGAGATAATTTTTTCGCAGTTGCCTTTGTTGAAAGCTTGAAATGTATCTGGAAAATGAGACGACAACTTTGATTTCATTTTTTCAAGTTTGACATATGATATAAAAAACACTCACGACCAGGTCCAGGAGTCTCACACAGTCTACTTGAGTCTATTGTGGCTTCATTCTTTGACCCATTTTTCTCCACCAATGCCAGGTCTTGGTGAAAAAAAAAACATACAAATCAAAATCATTGTATTAAATATTGCATTTATAATGAATATTCCTATACCCATGGAAATTGTTTTTAGCAACAATAACTATTTTGATTTAAAATATTTAAGATGAACAAATTTTAAATATAATCACATGTAATTGTATTTTCATTCAATATCATTAGTTCCTTCACTTTTCTTTTATATATATATATATATATATATATATATATATATATATATAATTGATCTTCTTACATTAGTGTAAATTTAAAAATTCTTATATTTAATTTGAACTTTTTATTTAACTTAAATCTAATGAATTATAATTTATTATTTCACTGTCTGTTAGATTTAAGTTAAATAAAAATCTTAAATTAAATATAAGAGTTTTTACATTTACACTGGTGTAAGAAAATTATTCCTCTCTCGCTATATATAAATTCTTATACTTAATTTGAGTTTTTCATTTAACTTAAATTTAATGAATTATAATTTATTATTTTATTGACTGTTACATTTAAATTAAATAAAAAAATTAGATTAAATATAAAAACTTTTAGAATTACACGTAAAAAATCTTATCATATATATATCTATATATAATTATATATCAAACTTTAAAATTTGATGATATTGGGATGAACGACCGTGTGAGTGGCCATTCGGTCGGCAATAGAGTAATGCAATGGAGTGACGCGTTAAACAATGGGGTGCATGCCTCACCTGCACGAATAAATGGCTTCTACCCTATTCCTACGTACAAAGCTTTTACTTCACCAAAGTCTTAAATATTGAAAAAGACGAATGTCTGTTTTCGGTGCTCGAAAGTCGAAAAAGAAGAGGTTGTTTATGCTGAAAGTGAAAGAAACGTGGATCGGTAAAATTCTACATCCATATATCTTTCTATGGATAAAGTGTAATCACAGTTATTGATTCAAATTTTAATGATTGATAGTTAACAGTTATAAATGTATTATATATTTTAAAAAAACTATATTATCATTAATCCTCTTATTTTGATTAAAAATTAAAATGTAACATATTTAATTAAATTTATTTGTGATTATAATTTATATTACATATTGGCATTTATGACTTTTGGTTGCACCAAAAAAAATATTGATATTTATGTTATAGTGTTTTTTTTTAACTTTCACCCTAAAGGCTATTTTTTAAAATTCATATTTGGGAGACATGAATACAAAATACCCATGCTATATGTAAACGATGAGAGCAAAATTAGTAGAAAAAAATTGTATCCTCTTTGAATACAAGAATAAGTCAATTGAAAACTGGATATAATTCAAAAGAAGTTGTAAATGCATGCGTAGTTTGTTTGAGTTTCATCAAGTATGATTAATTTATCAAACCCAAAACTTGAAGTGAATGCCTTTAGTTTTTCATATTTAAATTTGAACTGTCTTGGTGATATGAACCAAATCAATTTTGTTGGAATATCAAAATGATATATATTTCAAATATATTGAATATTTATTTTAATTATCTCATTATTTATAACATTTATTTTAATTAATAATATAATATTTTATTATAAAAGTAAACTAATAAATTTAAAATTATAGTTATCTATAAATAAATTTATGTCTATAGATATCTTATCAAGCAACATTTTTTATGATATCTTACAGTTATCAAGCACTTTTAATTTAAATAAAGTAGTTTAATATCAATTTTCAACTCTCAACTAAAAAATAATTTTCTAACTTTCAATTAAAATTCAGTTAATTGTACTGAATATAATCAAGTGTCCAGAAATTATAATTCATATTATTGTAAGAATTTGATCTTCAATTAAAATATGTATCATCTTGATTTGAAAAATAATCAAATTTCACCCAAAAGAAAGAGTGAAAACATTGTATGCTTAACACTTATTAACCCTTATTTCTCAATCTAGTGTTAACATATGTCTTAGATTTTGTGTGTGCACATTATCTACTGTAGTTTTCTCATTTTTGAGAAATTATGTTCATTCTTGTCGATTTACAATTTAAACAATAATAGCCTTGTCAAGTTGTAATTGAAAAAAAATAAATGTAACAATAGTAACTTTGTCAACTTGAAATTTGAAAAACAATATTTATAAAAATGATATTTTATTTATATTTTATTATTTGAAATAATTAATACAATTGTAACTTTTTTAAATTTGCAAAATGAAATAGTTGTGTATGCACACACAATGTACGTGTGACAAAAACTTTATTTCATTTTTTGACCAATAGAAACTTTAAAATATTTTATTTTTAAATTTTTTATAAATCTAAAGAAGGTTAATATAACATAATTAAATTTGAATCAAATAAAACATTAAGTATCAATTCAATTTAACTTTAGAGCAGACTTAACTAGAACGAAATGAAAAAAAAAAAGTTACATATAAAAATATTTTTTCATTAAAAATATTAATATTGAATTTCTAAAGATAAATGAAACACGCTTAGTGTGACAATCTTTTTCTTTTTTGTATTTTAATTATTTGAATTGGGTCATTATCTAATGATTTAGTGTTTTTTTGGTTTATTATTCAGTTGGGACATGTTGATGACACACACTAATACTATGGTGATGGTCAAAGGTAGTTAGACAAAGGATGAAACTCAGAGAGAGAGAGAGAAAATGTAAAATGACAAAAAAAGAGTCGAATTCACGAATCATGAAATCATGGACATGTTGATGGCGGTCCCATACGTGGAGTCACATTTCTTCTATTCACTTCTCAACCCTTTGAAACAACATCGACAACATCAAACATCAAACATTCTTATAAAAGCAAAAACACCGCTCACACAAACAAAGGAGGGAAAATCGCATCTCTCATTCTATTTCCCTTTGGCCATTAACAACACTCAATCTCTTCCTTCATTCGCAAACCAACTTTCTACAAACTCTAACTTCCCTTCCTTTTTTTCTCATCCGTTGTCACAAAGGCAAACCAAAAAGGTGACAAAATAAAAAGAGAGAACCTTTCTTAGCTTCAACAAAATGCGATCCCCTTCTTGTAAGATTCCCACCTCCTTTCTACCCTTCTTTTTCAATTCTTATGCTTCTTTTCTCTTTTTAAGTCATTCTGTGAGTAAAGGTGCTCGCTTTTTGTTCTCTTCTTCTGTTTTTCTCATCTGGGTCTGTTTCATCTCCCCCTCCCCCTCCCCCTTTTCCGCTCTCAACTTTTTTCTCGGTACTTCCTCTTCTCTGTTGTGTTCTTCACTTGTTTCGACTTACTGGGCTACACCTTTTTTTTTTTTTTTTTTACTTTCTCACTATAAATACAAATTCCTTATTTTTCTTAAAATTTCAAATTATTTTATTTTGTTCATTGAGTTCAATATCTTGTCAGTTTTATTGTGAGATTCGATTAGCTTTTTTTAAATTTTTTCTTTGTTGTCTAGGATGGGGGACTTATGTTCCTGTTTTGGACCTTTCTGTTTGTGATATTGACAACCCTTCCCCGTTTTTCTACAAGCATTATGTGGGGTCCAGTTTTTGTGATGGGAGCTGGGGATTTCTGCATGAAGATAAAATTCACCAATTTTATGAGCAACCAAATGGAAATTTGACATTTTCTAAATATGCTTCTCGATGTTGCTAACATGCTTTTTTCCGTTTTTGTTCTTTATTTGCATGTGGTGTGGGCTTCATTTGCAGAAATTCTGAAGGATATTTACTTATTCTAGAGGTTTAGACGCATAGTATTTAGAATTTCATTGTGTTACTACAAAGATGGGGGATCACTTTGAGTTGCTGGTGGATCGATTGCTTACTGAATCCACATTAGAAGCTGCACTTGAAAGCAGAAATAGGTCAATGCAGGCTGCATCCTCAGCAGTGAATGATACAAAAATTGATCTCTCGTTGATGAAGATGGGTGTGGATAATATCAAATGTCCAGGGAAACTGGTAGAATGCAGGATATGCCATGATGATGATGAAGATTATAATATGGAGACACCCTGCTCATGTTGTGGTAGTTTGAAGGTTAGTTCTTTGTTAGTGTATTCATAATCGTATGTTTTGATATGTGAAATTTATTCATCTTTTTAATCTGTACTGTTGTTACTTGTGAAGTGAATCCATGAAATTCACGTTTTAAAATCCAATGGAAAATTAAATCTGTTGTGATGGACATGAATTTATTAACATATTTTCTATCAACAGGTGGATTGTTTTTATCTGTCAAAAACTTTTTGTCAGTTTGTGATTCATTTATTATTTTAACACGTCAGTTACCAAGTTGTTCATAAAAGACCTTCTTTCCATTCAAGATAAGCAAAAGATTTTGGTGAAATGCCACGCAACAAAGATGTTTGATAAGAGTACGTCAAGCAAAGTATAATATAGGAGTTTTCCTCCATTTGATCCTTGATAGCATAGGAGTTAATAGATGGGATCAATTGGAAGCATGCACATTTTGTGCAAGATTTGAAGAAACTGTGACCTTCACATTATAGAAGCTTCTACATCACTATTAATCTGACATTCTATCTTTGGGTAGACTGTTGGCACCTTATTCAAACAATTGTGTAAGAAGTTGGGAAATACTAGCAGAGCTTAGATTTGTTTTTAAGTCTGACATGTATTGCATCTGTCAATGCTTGTGCAGTTCAGTTTTGTGGTGGTCAGAGATAAGATGGATTATGAAAGATGAAGCTCTTGTATGCATGCATCTGATGGTGTGAATGTGAAGCAAATGGTCCTAGAGTTCCAGCTTCTCTTCCTTGTATTTGGCTTGTATTATTGCTGAATAAAATTTTGTGTAGTCTCTTGATAGTTGGTGTACATTATGTTTTCACAAGAAAAAATTTGTAGAATTTGTGCATTTATTAAGTTACTGACTATAGATATTTATCAAACTCAACTGATGTTTGGTTTGATAATCAGAAGTAATTCCTGTATATCTTGCCCCAATTTTATTTTATCTGCTTATAGGTTGATGGCTTAAACTTTGTGTGCTTTTATTAATTGATGTTTGCAGTATGCCCACCGCAGATGTGTACAAAGGTGGTGTAATGAGAAAGGTGACACCACCTGTGAGATATGCCACCAGGTAACTTAAATTTTTTCCTCTTCCTGGTTCTCTTCTTCTTTCTGCACACTTGTTCCATTGATCATTTATTTGAGGAAATGGCAGTATCTGGATTATTTGGGTTTGGGGAGTTGCAATGTTTGTCATATCATTTTCACCTGATTTTGTTATATTTGATTTTTTTTTGGCTGAAATGTAATTTTCAGCAATTCAAGCCTGGGTATACAGCTCCTCCTCCACTGTTTCAGTTTGGACGTATTCCAATGAGTTTCAGGTAACTTCCATGCAAACTTCTTATTTTTTCCCCCATTAGTTAATCTATGAACATGTTTTTACTTTCCATTTCAATGTGGTCTAATGCTGTTTATGTTAGGGGAAATTGGGAGATTTCAAGAAGAGACTTGAATAGTACTCATTTGGTTAGCATGGTTCCCACCGATCAGAACCTTGCCAATTCTAACTATGATCAATATTCAGCCTCTGCTACAGGAAGTTTGATATGCTGTCGTTCAGTTGCTGTCATTGTAATCTTTCTCATTTCTCTTATGCATGTATGCCACTATGCCATCACACCTACTGGCTATGACATTTCTCCATCTTCATTGCTTCTCATTTGCAGTTCATGGTTCTACTGATTTTAAGACATACTCTTCCCCTTGTAATTAGTGGAAATAAGGAGTATTCTTTCCCCCTATTTATGGTACGTTTTGCATTATTCAATGTATAATTTTAGTAAGCGCATTGATCATACTCTTACTTACCGAGGTTTATTCAATTTAATGGAGTTTCTATAGCTGTTATTACTTCGGACTGTGGGAGTTGTTCTTCCCATATACTTCATGGTTAAAGCAGTGGCCTTAATCCAAAGACATCGGAGACAGCATCGAGTAAGCCTCTATCATAGGCTAACCTTTTTTCTCTTTCCCATGATTCTCTATATCATATGAATCGTCTAATTACTTACAAACAACTCTCTTGTTTTTTTCTTGGCCATTTGATACTATTAGGAGCACCTTAATGCCTTGGCCAGTTCATCTGATGATGAGAGCCAACAACCAGCTTTGCAGCCTCAGCCTCATGTCATACATGTTCTGTAAAAATACTGTAGCCACTTGAAGTAAATGAAGTGTTCGATTGAGATGCTGCAATCTGTCTTCTGATTTTTTATTTAAATTAGATGGAGACAACTTCCCTGAGACCGAAAACTGTGAGTTTGCTAAGGATGAGGAAAGTGAAATTCAGATGCAACAGGTGTCGTAGCTATTAGAGGCATTGCATGCCCCTTATGTTACCACTTACAAAGTCCCTGCTGTAGCTACTCCTGGGGAAGTCTTGGCAGCAAGTTACACATTAGTTTTACTGTTTCTGCTTACTGATTGGAATTATTCAGATGTATAGATAGAAATCATACAATTATATAGCGAAAATTACATGGGGTAGATATATATATTAAAAATGGATGACTTGTATATATTGCATGAAAGTTAGGTACTTCTGTGTTTTTTTTTTTCACTATAGGATGCTAGCTTCGTCTATCACTTTTGGGTCTCATGTTACTTGTATCGCCAGATCATTAATTAATAATAAAATGCCATAGAAAATGACATTGTGTCTGCAGTAATATTCACATCGTGTCCTTGTCTCTAGTTGACTCACGTGGATCTAGGGTCTAGTAGATATGCATGTCTCAGTCCTAATCTTGGTCGTTGTTATTTTGGTCTGTTCTAAATTCTGCCATCTTCTACTTCACTATGTGGTCCTCTTCGCCAAAGGAATGACCACTTCTGCCACCACTCTGCAATCTAAATTGACATCTTTGTCCACGATTCAAATTACACGAGGAATGGGAAGGTGTGTAACTTTGATTACAGTAGCGATGACTTCATTGAATTTTTTTCAATAGCACTCCAATCCTTGAACTGGTTTCCTTCAATTCTTCTATCTTTTAAGATATACTATTGGCTGACATTTCAGATTTCGTTATAATCATATTTATAGTTGATTATAAAGTTCATGACCAGTACGAAACTATTAAAATATTCAATTATATCGCATGAACCTGTTAGAAAATTCAATCGAACCCCAAATTACATAGCAAAGACCTACAAATGTTTTTAACATATTCTTTCTCATCAAATGAAAATCTATTTGAGACTCGTGTTTTTGTTCAACTGCTTACTAAAAGTAAACCAGACAATAATGTAATTCATGCTTATAGTTTATACACTTAATTTGACAATAAAAAAAATAACCCCAAATTACATAGCAAAAATGTTACGTCATGTGCTCCTTTCCCCCAAATTTTCTAGGCTGTAGCCTGTAGAGTAGTATATTTGAGCTCAACGCCAAAAAGTAAGTGAAAGAAAATAGCACAGATCAGTAATGATCTCCAAGAGTAAGAATTGTATTCTGTACATTCTATTAAGGAAGAATAGATTCAAAAAGGAACTTGGCAAGGCTCTTTGGAGTGAGATAATAAATTGGATCCCTATGAAAGCTGCTATGCATGCACCTTATATGCGTTTCAGTGCACTTGTCTACCATTCCTACTTCCACGTTCTCTTTGGCCTGAAACATTAAAATAAAAATAAATGATAAATAAGCCAACAACTCAAGAACATAATCTCTCTCCTTATATCCCCTTTTCAATTCTTCAGGAGCCAGTCATTTTCATTACCCTCCTAATTATCAAATGTTCTTTAAAGAGTGTAGGTGGTGAAAATACTTCCGACTCTTTTGCTGTGAACGCCAGTAGCAAGCAAGTGCTCCAAAACCACAGCTAGCAATAGCAATAGCCAATGCAGCTCCTACAGGCACCACAATTGCATGAGTTGCTACTATTAGATCTTCAGCAGCTCCTTCACTTCCGTCATTTCCAACAATATTCCTGTCCTTGTACAGAGAAGTAAGCGTTTTTCCATAGTAATCAGTCAAAAACTTGAAGACCTCATCTCGGTTCCATTCAATTTTGTTGTTCCTCTGGTCAAGGCTTAGGTAACAGGAAGGGCAAAGCTTCTTTGGTGGCCAAATTATCTTTGGGAATTTGGGATCACCAGTACCCAGTGATGCTTCTTCTTTCATCAACCTTTCGTTAACCGTGTTATGTGTACTCCACAACCAGATAGCAAAGTCACGGGCTTTGTTGAAAGGACTAGAAACACTGAAAATTAATTCATAATAAGAAGAGTGAAAGAAAAAATGAGCTTAGATTGATATTATCAATTCTCTCAATTCCCTTTACCTTGAACACATCTTGTAAAAGTGTTGTCGACATTCCTCACAGATGAAGAAGTTGTTAACAAAATCACATATTGCATTAAATGTAAACTGACTCTCTCCATCTTCAATCCTGACGGAGAGTGAATGCAGAAGCACCCATAAACCACAACTGGAAAAACACAGACGAGATGGGGTGTTCTGTTATGATATGTTAAAGAGATGGTTTGCAGCAATGTTTTAAAATTTGGATTGGTCACTGAGCCAACAAAGGCACAGCTTCTTTACTTTGACTGTGATTGAATCAATACTAATTAACTATATTTATTTTAATATTGTATGATATTAAGTAATAAACAAACACAAAATCATAAAAAAATAAAGCTATGGAAACTTTTAAATTATTGTCCTATAAGATAAAAAGCCAATAAGCTAAATAATATCAACCCATAAAGTACTCGTGAACCTTTGTAACTTGGCATTGGGCCTTTATTCGTGTAAAAAAGACAGTTTTGGTCAATTTTTTTTTTTAAATATAAAAATTTAAAATACCAGTTCAAACAAGTTCTTCATCACCATTTAAATTATACAAGTTTTGGTTAAATGGACCAAACACCCGACTGATTCACCAGTTTTCTAGTTGAATCGATTGGTCCAGTCCAGTTTGTAATCAATGATTTAAAGTCAATACACAATCTCAGGCCACATAGATGGATGAAGCTCCATCTTTGGTATATGCATATTTCTTTGTACACACAAAAATAATCATGGATCAAAATATTCATAAATGACAGAAGAGTGAAACTACTCAAGGAGATATCAACTTAAATTTTAAATGAAAACAGGTGAAGTTGATATAAGGAAGTTGAAAATGTTGATTAGATATGAAAATAGATAAAACAGGGAAATGTAAAGTATTACCTAAAGCCTCTGGTATCGTTCTTACTGCCACGACAAAACATCTGCAAAAGAAAAGTCAAAATAAATCAAAACAATCATAAACCTTCTTACACTAAGAAAATTCAAAATTTAATGTATGAAGATGACATTATGAATTATAACATAAAAAGTAGACTCAACAGTCAACACTGTCTGTGATTGTGTGTATCTTGCTCCTCAAATCCCATGGACATAAGGTTTTATTTTGCTCAATGATTTCAAGATGCACACACAGCTATATGATTCTTTGTACGGCCAACTGCCCAATTGAAATGCAGTTTTTTCATTTACGAGAAATTATCAGTTAACAATGGAATCTTTCAGATGAGGAAAGTTTGACACAAGCATATGCATCCATTATACAGTTACAGTGTATAAGGAGAGGAATGCTTGTATTGTCCAGGGTGTTCAATACTTTTGTTACAGAAACAGAAGGTGGAAACTTGCCACAAGAAACAGCATATGCATCCATTACGCAATCATGCAGTTTAGTTCTGGAGAGATATCCATATTTTCTACGTTTGTCCCTATGAAAGTGTTTTTTTCTTCTCAAGATTGTTTCAAGGGAATGTCTAGTACTGATATGCAAAGAAATCGGACACTTTTGTTGTGTTTTAGCTACTTTGGCTCACCGCTTTCCTTTTCTTTTTATTGGAGCCCTATCTGTACTTTCATCTTCTTTTCTCTCCCTCTCTATTCGGTGACCAGGATTGGATAATGATAGGAACTGAATTAACTGTGGATTAACAGAGAAAATACACAGCGAAGCATGGTCTGATTATGAGAATAATATGCAAAAAGTATAGAAATTAACAATGAAGCAGCATATCACAGGAAGAAAACTTTTCTGCTCTGTGGCAACAGCAGCCCACAACTACCCAAATGATTGCCTGCATCTCTCATTTTCCCCCCTCTTCCTTTATATCCCACACAGCCTCTAACTTTACCTCAACGCTTCCACACTTCTTGCAACATATGCTAGTTTGTTACAGCCTACATAAATCCCTCTTTTTCCCTTACCATTATAGGAGCGCCAAACAGAGTGAAAACAATGCTCATCAAGCTGAATTTTCTAGTGGGAAAGCTTTGAGGAAAAATCATGACATACACACAAGTATGACAATAAAAAAGTTCATTGACATAGGGGAGGTTAAAAAGTATTTATTTTCTAGGAAATAGGTCTGCTTACAAATACTTCATCACAAGTAATAATATGAGATCCAACTCCAATAACAATTCAACTATGATTAGCATAATATTAACTTTCAAAACTATTAATAAATTCTTGTTGCTGAAAATAGATCTCTCAAATATTCATCTGATAACAGTAGCCAACAAAAAAAATGTTCATAAAAAATTAGTTTAAAGTGTTGGCCACATTATAGACAACTGAAAATTTTCATACAGAAGCCAAGCAGAAATGCAGTTCATAGATTCCTAAAAGGTCTAATACAAGCATTGAGATCCTACCCAGTATCCACGAGGCACATCTTTTCCACAAATCTTTAAGTTCCTAACTGAACTTTTTTCATCTTCCTGATTATTACTTGACCAAAAATCTGTTGGGTACAAGTCATCAAAGCTGACAAGAAGTTCAGCGGTACCCTTCCGGCATCTGAAAAAAAATTATCCATTAATCTATAAAAAAAGATTGTGACAGTAAGTGCTTGACAAACAGAGAACAAAGGATCAGCAAAAAGTTCATCTTACCTCCTAGAAGGATGATGAGCTGCCAAAAGCTGAAGAAACTTTATAAGTGAAACACGAGTTCCTGGTTTTATCATCTGCCAAACAGAAAGTATTTGTTCTGTCATCCAAAAGAATGAGCACAAAAGAACAATCAGGGAAATAGATAATCTACCTTGTGCTCTAAAATGATGTCAAAAGCTGTAGAAGTTGCCTCTTCAACATCATAGATAGCTCTTGCAATCTTTCCAAGTCATGCATACCATATACATCAATATCTTCAAATATAAAACAAAAGTGAATCAAAGATGTGCGCATGTGAAGAAAAGGACCTGTCCAGGATCTGATACATTGGATGAAAGATGCTCATTTTGAAATTTCTGATCATCCAGGCCAAATGAACTGCAACGTTATGAGCATTGTTGGGTGCATAATCAGATTTAAGCAAAATATATAATGACAATTTTCACATTCCATCAGACACAACTGACTCCTTCCTCATAACTCTAGACTCTTCCACTTTGTACTTTGATTTTTCCATACGGCCTAATTTATAGTGCATTATAAGTCTATAAAGTCCCCTTAATACTGAATCTAACTCTATTTATAGGATCTATTAACCATATTAACAACTAACTAGCAGTTTCTTTCCTTCCTTTCCTCCTAACATAAACCTTCCACACTTTAGGGCTCTTATTAGTATCAATCATATATTCTTCTGCCATGGGTCCAACATCATCGGGCTTAAATTAAAAAAAAAAAAATCACCTACAATATCATAACTGTATTAACAATGAATTTATTTAAATCGCATACCTGCTCATTTGTTTGTTAATCCAATTAAGCAACCGGTCAGCTGTGCGTGCATCATCAATCACACGGATATCAGTTTTCTCTTGTTTAGGTTCCCATCTACTACCAACAAATTTTGTAGGAGGGCCCCAAAAGAGCATAGGATAATGTCCGACAGAAAACTTATCACAGAGCTTAGTATTTATCTGTGCTGCCAAAAAAATTGAACAGAAAGGTACAAATCACCAAGGCATGTTTTGCGTAAACATTAAACCTCACCTTATTAAGTAAAACAAGATTCACGCACCTTTGATGCACAGTCTACCCTTGTCATTAATATGATTCCTGGATGCACTGAATCAGGTCCATTAAATAACCTTGCAACCTTTTCATAGTGAGGCTGCATTAAAATTTCAGCGGGATAATAATGGTGAGTTGAAATGTTCATTTAAAAAAACTCAAAAAATTAATAGTTTTTGCTAACCTCAACCATCAGGGCTGAGTTTAAGCATCTAAAAGTAATAAACTTTTATTGAATAAGAAAGTATTATTACATTGGATATAGAAAAGTGTAATAAATGTTTTATTTTCCAATAAAAATATATTATTTTTGGATATTTAAACTTAGCCCGAAGATAACAAAAGTATAAAATTGAAAATTAATAATACTTTTAAGCAAATAATACCTTATAATTCCTGCATGCAGGGCACCTGACAGAGAAGCAAGGCACACAAGAGAAATGAGAACTTCTTATACTCATATTTCATTCTTTTAAATATACTTATGTGCAGAAAAGAATTTGTAAAATAATTATTCCCAAGGAATACAAAACTTTTAGTTCAACTAGATAGTTTTCAAAAAATTCCTTCAAATTTAATTAAGAACAGCTAGTAATTGAAAACTTGTTGAAAGAGCTTCTGAAAAGGGAAAAGATAAACGATTTCCCCCAAAAATTTAATAGATTCCAAACATGCTACAATAATTAGTTTTATCTTCCAGTCTTTTTGAGTTATAAGACACTTAAAACAAGTAGGGGAGGAACTTTGTGATACATATTAAATCATTTTTTCACATTTACTGCCTGTTGCTAAGCACAATACAACCCAGTGCTTTGCATATGGGAAACATGAAATATACAAATAAAGAAAAGTTAGATGTGTAATTTAGATATTGACCACATAGTTCTCCTCTCTCCCTCGCTCTCTCTCTCTCTCCAGAAAGATCATAAGGTATCACTGCATACTTCGGGTTTGGATTAATCCTCAGTTGGGAGTAGGCTTAGCTAGAGATGTGCTTCTAATGGGTTTCAAAACCCTGCAATGCATATAAAGTGCACCTTTGATTCACTACATGTTTCTTGAAAGAATATATGAATAAAGTTTAGAAAACAACATATGAATCAGAGGGGAGGATTCTGCAAAAAGGAAACCCTAATGAAACAGGAATAGTAACTTCTTGGACTGATTTTTCAAAGAAAATTTAAGCTAACAAAGTTTGTGCAGTAATCACTAACCACTAACCACTCTGAGTATATTATTTTTAAGAGTTTCTTTCTCAGAATTCTCCCATTATTTTTTTCCTAAAGGAGAATGAATCGAAAATAAGGCTATATTATATTTAGACAAGATTACGATAAAGGGGATGAAAACTAAAATACAGGCTAGAGGATATATTCATAGAAAAATCAAGAAAAAAAAAATATTACTTCAATACACATCATTCATAGGCTAATGGTATCTCAAAGTTATAATATAACACACCCAAAACAAGAAAAAACAAAGCTTCTTTGTAGAAAAAATATAACTGAGGAATCAATTGAGTATGAAAATGGATGAATAGGAATAAAGAAAATAACAAAATTGACCCACGAGTTTAAAATACTCCTATTAGCTAACTATAAGAAGATTATATTTGATACTATAAATAAAAATGAAAACTAAAAACAACTTCCTTAAATATCTTGTATATGTATGCCAACATCATTTCAGAAGCATGCCGCATGAATACAAGTAATTAGCAAGTATAAGTATAAAATATACTTGATCAGTTCCAAAAATTCTATCCATGCAGCAGGTCTAACAGGGTATCCTTTTCTGTCATGAGTTGGATTGGATAACAAATTCATCTTCACATGCAACAGTAAAGTAAGTAAAATTCAGGCTTGATTCATAAGCACAGTTCAGCTTCTAACTTATCAGAGCTTTTCAACAGTAAAATTCTACCATTAAGACTTTTTAAGGCAAGAATGCAAACCTCTCTTAAGTTAATAGGTGCCAACAGAGAAGTAAGATGAGAGAACTTCTAAAAATTTTAAGACACATAAGGTAATTTTAACTCATGCGAGAAGTATAATTTATTTTACCAGTAATTTTATTTTCTTCTTTTATAACTGCTGAGAAATTAATCCAAACCAACTCGTACAGATGTGAAGGAGGAGGGAACAAAGTAAATGGAATAAAAAAAGACCATTTTCAAGTGATGTCTTGATATATGACACGGTGTCCGTCACTGCTCATAGCATCAATTGAATAAACCAACCATTAGCTCCACTCTAAAGAGCAAACTCAACAAACCAATCAACCTAATCTTCCGAAAGTCTTTTAATGCATTAACATATTATACTTTCATCTCTCCTCCCTACTGTTACTGCTGATCCAATTTGCAGATCATATTTCACCTTCTATCAAATTACTCAAAACAAAAAATGAATAAATAAAACTCCTACCATCGAAGTAAAACCCATAAAAACTCAAATTTTTCAATACCCAAAAGAGACTTCCAACAATTCCATTAGTATAAACACATAAATAAATAGAAATCATCATGACTAACCAATGAGCAAAGAATTCAACGACAGCGAAAGTAGCAGGGGTATCCTTCAGAACAGCATCGAAATTGGTGGCATTAAGCTCAACAGCATAATCAGGATGATCACCGCCGTTTTTACCATTGTCGTTGACCTCTCGAAGTATCGAACGACGCGACCCGAAGGAAGAATGTGAAGTGGCAGAGCAGCACACAAAAAGCACGCACAGAAACACACCCAAATGCAAATACATCTCAGCCATGGAAAGATCACAGGGGAAATAGGGTTAGGGTTTTGAGGGTTATTACCCAAAATTGAAGAAAGGTGAGATTTTTGAAGATGGGGTGGAGAAAGAAATCGATCTGTTAGTTTTTTTAAAATAAAATTATTATTATTATTATTATTGTGTCTGTGATAGGTTTAGTTGTAAGTAGTTGTGTTTGTGGGATTGGATTAGATGGGTTGATGAAAGTGTTGTTGGGAAGGGAAAGGTGAACCAGAAAAGAAAAGTGTGAGAATTACGTTTGCATAAACATTGCTTCGGATCGGAGATGGCGGAAGCACCTCTCTCACCATCAAACCTTTTTCAAACTCTCCTTCTTTCCCCTTTCACCTTCGTTGTTTGTCACCGAACATTAACATGAGTAAAATATTAAAAAATAAACTATTAATTTTTTTAGAGTTGAAAATCGTATAAATTGATCTAATTATTTTAATAGTAATTAACAGACATTTTAATATGTTAATATTAATTTAAAGAATTTTAAAAGTTAAAAATATCATTTAATTAAATGATTAATCAAAATATATTAATTGAAATTAATATACAAAATTTAAGATCCATTTGACAAAGTTCCAGTGATACATGTGATTATCTGAAGAAAATATATGTTAAGAGAAATTAATAGGTTCAACTGTATTTTTGACTCACTTATTTTTAAAAATTTCATGCAAAAAACAATATAGTTTAGCTTTTATACAATTTTTTTACAAATTAATCTTTGCTATTTATCAAATTTATAATAATGTTAATATAATTTTTATATAAAAATAACATATTATGTATAAACACAAATTATAAATTTTTTATATATAAATATCAAAAATAAAATGCAAGAGTAATAATTAAAATGAAAAGTAGTGGGAACAATAACAATCAAATTCAACACTTCTAGTTTTGACAAACAATAAATTTTTATATGTAAATAAATTTTCAAAAGAAGACTAAAATTGATGATATTACTAAAACGAAAAATAGTGTGAAGTATAAAAATTAAATTTGTAGTTAAACTTTCTTTTTCATGACGAGAATTGAAAATTTCCATTAAGAATTTATTTTTTATTTTATATCATGTTTTCAATGTCAATTAAAATTGTATTAAATACACTTATATCATTTACGAGGATATTTGTTATTTGATGAAATATGAAACGTTTTAAGTAATATGACATTATCGGTTTCATTCCTATTAAACATGTTTTTGTTAATTGAATAAGGTAAAAAGTTTAGTAAATACATATAAACTGTGTGGCTATCCTATTAATCTTGACGTAGAATGAATTTTGCATGCAGGATATTATTGTCAATAGGTTAAAATACGTTAAATTTTAAATTTCCTGTTTTCTCATTTCAATATTACAATAAAAAAATTTCACGTTATTAGGGATTCAATAAAAGCTTTAGTTCATGTTTCTATGATTAAATAAGACAACAAATAAATTTCCTATTTATCTGTAATCAATTAATATAAACGTTTTCTATCGGAAATTAAAAAAGCAATGAAATATTTAGTATTGAAAGGGATAAAAGGAATGACTATAGTATGAATTAATATATAACACAAAATGATTGAAAACTAGGTTATAAAAGAATCAAAGCATGCAAAAAGAGAGAGAGAGAGTTAAGAATAAATTATACATGCATAACTAATTATTATTTTGTAAATTTATGCCATGTGTAGAATGATAATTATTTAATTATTGTATTTGTATGTATGGACAATGTTAAGAAACGAAATAAGGTGGATGGTTCCACCTTAGAAGGTTCAAGGTTGTCAACTCTTCCAATTTGTTGGCATATGAAGTATGAACAAAACCTAGGTTAGGCGTATGCCAAGTTTGAAAATTCAACTATTTGATGTTTGAAGTGAAATTTTAAAGTTATATTTTTAGTTACTTAACCTTTTTTACTCAAGCTGTGGGTGGCAGTGTTGTTAAGATATTACAAAAATGCTTATCAACATTAAATTAGATTGAATTTATTTCTAAAAACTTTTTTAGAAACTAATATTTATAAAATTTTATATTAAATAATTTAATCCATTAAAATGAATATGAACCCTGGAGTACCATGATGCTCAGCCAATTGCTTGCTGGAGATTTTAGACAGATTTAATAGAAGAGACAAAGATACATGTGAAATTTGTAAAATTGATAAAATTCACAAGATGTATGTGATTTTTTTACATAAAAAAAATAGAGAAAAATAATGAATTTGAGAGATAGAGGAAAAATAAATTAAGGCACATAGTTTTGTAAATGAAAGGATTTTTTTTAAATTTTTTTTATAATGGATAGGTTTTAAAGAAAAAGGTGATTAGCATAAAAAGAAAATTGAAAAATGTGAAAAGTAAAAAAAAAAAAAGTGGGGTGCATATGAATTGGGCGGGGCTTTCTTGTATTGGGCCGTGGTGTGGTACTACTCTCACAGGAGGATTTGGTGTTCTCTACCATCCACCAGGCTGAATATCGTCCACATCTCACATCGAGTCAAATAAAAAATCGGATATTCGAATTTCACCGCTTCGAAACCCTTTCTCTGTCCCCAAATTTTCAAACCCCAACATTGCAAATTAGCAGGTGATCTTTCCTAAGCATCATCAAATCAAGCAATTTCCGCTGTCTTTGTCTCTGGTACTCGTTTTTATTTCTAGTTCCTCTTTAGATTTCGTTCATTTTGACATGCTTTGACTTCGTAATTTTTATTTTGAATTGTATGGATTTTACGGCTTATGTTACTCAATTTCGTGCACTCTGATGCTTGGTTACCGTGAACTGTTCCGAAATGTTCATTGTTTTTCATTGCTTTTTTTTAAACCTTGCAGGGAGAGCCTCTTGGACGAGAGCATTTCGCTGCAATTTTCACCGGCCAAATTGGAATCATCTGAACTATTCATCATGAAGTTCCTGGAGTGTGCTGCCCTGGATCGGTAATTGTAACTTCAAACGAGTTTGAATTGAATGATGGGATTTCGTTATATAATTCTGGTACATAATAGAGTATTGTTAAAATATTTTCAGGCTTAACGATTTTTTGGATAATTTGAATCTTGGAGAACGTACTATCAAAGGATGCCTTGAAGCTTATAGTTGTAAGGAGGAGTAAATGATTTCTGAAACTTTGTTTTGAATTTGTCTGGGGCTGTAACTAATTTTTTAGTTTTTTACCCCATAGGCAAGCATGCTGGAACTGATAAAAAACTCTCCATAAGTTTGGAGACTGAGGTGAGCTGATGCCGTATATATTACATTTCTAACCACACTGTAAATTTTGCTCTAATAAATGATTTGGCACATGTTAAAGGTAGAGTTGAGGATATAGTTTATTCAAGATGTTTTAAACGTAGTGTTTCGTGCTAATAACATGGCTTCCTGCTTAAATGAGTGTCCATTTATTGCATCTGTTAATCGCCAGAAAATATTATTGCATTGATATGAAAAGAAGACATTTTCTGTGTGAAGTTGTGCTTTAATGGGTTTTCTTTATAATTTTTTTATGGATATATCATATCTTATAGAAATAATAAAAGTGAAAGTTGATCTTTCTTGTGTTCTGACAAAAAAAAGATGCTTAAAATTGAAATGAATTGTATGGTATTGGTGGAACACGGAATAAGCCCTTCAATTGATTAATTATTATTTGAACTTCTTCAATTTCAGATTCTTGATTATCTTGGCAAATCGTCTGACACTGATTCCTCCTCACCAGATCAAACCTTATTAACGAGAACCAGGTGGCCTTGCTATCTAGATAAGTTTAGGAAAGTGAAAATTAGCACTGAAGTTTCTTTCAAAATGTTATCATTTTTTGTTCTTTCATTCCAGCCGAAAGACATTGGTTTACCTGGTTCTTACCCTCTATCACATGTATCCAGATCATGACTTCAGGTACCTTAGTATCTTATGATGCATCAAATATCCTTCTATGTTATCCATAGGATATAAAGGAGGATTATGGGTAATGCTACTGTCAGCTTTTTTGGCGACATGGCAACCCGCTATATAATCCTTTTTTATTGCATTGGGAGTGTTGTCAAAAGGCTTGACAGACAGTTCTGACAACTGTTGCTCTAGAAGCTGAGAGTTCAAGTCTCTCCATTTCCCAAGTCTTATTCTGGTCATTCAAGTAGTTGAACAGTACTGCTTTAACTTTTTGAATCTTCTGGTTAATGCTTTTGTTTTTCCTAAAATGTCATACACCTATAATGGTTTTTAGTGCAGTTAAAGCTCATCAGTTTTTCACAGAGGAATCATGGGACAGTTTTAAGCAGATTTTTGATACCTACATGTTTGAAGCCTCAAAGGTGCTACTATTATTATTGTATATTTCTTCTTTTAAGAATTTTTTTTTATCATTTGCGCAGCTTCTTGGGTGCAAACAAACAAGTTTATGGGATAGTTAGTTAGTACGCAGATTGTAGACATAAATAAATCATAATTTAAAAATGGGGAAAAAATGTGAACAAAGTAGTTAAGGGAGACAATCCCCTTTGTTTAGTATGGATTAATATATCATGTAGTTATGAATTTTAAGTAACATAAGACTAAACATTGCATGGGTATTTGATGATAATTATATCAGTAATTAAAAACACATGCATAGCAAACTTTCTCATGCAGTTTATACATGTTATGATAATTTGTTTTCAAATTCAACATCTTATATGGTCATGCGGTTAAACATGTTATGTTCTTACACGAGTAGTTTAGGGGCTGTTACATTTCAAAAAAACATTTTTGTTTTCATTTTTAATTACAAATTGTCATCTTATTTTCATTATGTTTCTTATTTTTAAAAATTTGCGCAATGAAAATAAAAGAGAGAAATTATTTTCAGTGCTTTTTTATACAAATCTTTGAAAATAAAAAACACAATAAAAACAAGGTGACAAATTTGTAACTAATTAATAGTTAAAACAAAATGAAAATTGAAAGTGTTTTACGGATCTCATTGTCTTTGAATCTTTTGTTGGTGCAAAAATTATAATATGTTGTGATTTGATAATAATGATTGCTTTTTTTACAGTGATTTTCATACATTCAGTTTTGGTTTACTTGTCTACTGCAGGAATGGGCTGAAACTGTTGGGGGTGTTTCTTTACTGGACGCCTTGTTCAAGGCTGTTGATGAGGTATGGTATCTTTTTAAAGTGAATAGAAGTGATATCAAGACACACATCTGTGATACCTTGTGATGCAGGTTGTGAAGTTAGTGGATTGTGAAATTTACGGTTATGTCCCTGATTCTGAGGCAGATCCGTTACTAGAGAGAGGAGCAATGTAAAGTTATTTTGTTTCACATGGATAAAACTTAAATTATTACTTACATCATTTTGTCTATTATAGGTTATTCTAACAACTATCTTCTGTATTTTCTATAGATGGTCCTTTAATTTCTTTTTTTATAATAGAAAGCTCAAGCGGATTCTGACTTTTCATTTCAGCTGTTTTAGGTGAGTTGAAAATTTCATATTCTTTATTTCTTGGAACTACTTTTTGGTTGCATCGATATTTAGCCTTAGCACAATGCTGTTGGTGGCAGTAACTTGATTGCTGACGGATTGCTTGTCGATGAGATACACAATGAGTATGATGAAGAAATATTTGCTGACATGGATATATGAGTCGCTACTACCTCTATTATGATAGCATAACAAGACTCTCATCCTCCCATGTGCAGTTCTGTAATATGATGAGATCGTTTCACGTGTAGTTTTGTAAATTGAAGATCGTTTCTATGGGACATGAGTTGTAGATATAGCATTTGTATCTTACAGCATGCATATAGTAGATTTAGTATATGTATCTTCCTCTAATGCACATAGTAGATTTGGAATCTGTACCTATCTGTGTGCATATGCCTATTGGGACACACCTCTGGTGTAATATTTAACAAAAACTTACTCGTTTGGAATTGGAGCAAGGAGTATTAGATATCAAGTTAAATTCCTCTGAAAATGGTGCTTCTTTTCGACCGTTAGTTATTTTCGGTGGTTTAAGGTAAGGTTATAAGTTTAACTGTCTAAGTGGCACACAGACGAGTTTATCGATCAATAGTTAGTTTGCGCTTCTAGCATCTTTCCCTTGGGAAGATCAGGATCCTAACAAGATGGGTAATGTTCATTGATCATGACGGGATTATATTTTCGTTTTTATTTATTGTTTCCTCAGAAGGTTTTCATATACGACTTTCATTTATCTTTCCCTTAATATAATGAACATATTTTATATTGATATTGTTTTTAACAAATTGTTTAGGGCAAGAAGAGAAAATACTCATCCTAAAATTATCAATTCGTAGAGTTTGGTCTTTAATGTGATAGTTATAAATTACTTTCCAGGATACATCTCAGTGGAAGTGGATTTTAAAGTCGGTTTATCTTTTATTCTTTGATTATTTAGCGGGTTAACATTGTATTTTATTTAAACTGGGTATATTTTGACTCCAGATTGTGGTAATCAAATAGTGATTGAAATTGTGAATGGTCAAAAAGAATTTTCGGCTTACATGTTTTGTCCTGTTATTTTAGATTAAGTACGATTTTGGTTATTTAAGTATTTTTAATTAAGTTTTTTAGTTTTGAAGTCAATTAAATTTACTTTTTGTCATTTTTTACTTAAAATTTACAATTTTTATTTTTTTCAAATTTTTTATGAAGAAAAGGTTTTTCGGTGTCATTGTTAATTCTTAGGTTTTAAAATTTGTAAAAATTAAAATTTGATATTAATTTTTATAGTTTTTTGTTTTAATTTTTGTAATTTTAAATTATTAACACTGATTTTAAATTTAAATTTTGTAATTCACTTTTATTTTTTAAAATTTAAATTGTTTGGTGATGGAGGAGATAATAGAAGAGACAAGATAGAGAGATGTGATGGTACTAACATAATTTTTATAATCAATTTTTTTATATTTTAAAAATTGAGACAATTTTTTAAATTAAATTAAAAGTTAACTCAACTTTATGTTAATCAAACGTAATTTGTTCTAAAACTTACATTGAATTTTTTTAAAATTTTGAAAACTCAATTGTTTCAAGCAACTCTTAAATTGATTAAATTTTCTTTTATTTAAGAATTATTGTCTAAAATGTTAAATTACACTCAAAATAAAAAAATGTAAATATTTTATCCTTAAAATTCCTAATCTCATATCTTATAATTTTTAAAAAATTTATTAAGTATTTTTCTAAAAAATTTTATTTAAAATCACTTTATATCTCAAATTCATCTATTTTACATAACTTTAAAGATAGAGATGCTTAATTAAATAAATTTAAATTAATTAACGTAATAATTTAAGAAATAAAAATCACGTATAATTAAAATTAAATAAATTTAAATGTTCAATTAAGTTTTTACTTTTTTTTAAATAGCAAATCATAAATCATATATTAGAAAGAAAAAATTTAAATATATCATAAATGCTATATAGAATTTAATATAATAATTTTTAACTAAAAATAGATAAAGAAACTTAACTATAAGTCTAACAAAATAGATATTAAGTCACACATACAAATTAAGTGTGTTAAGCCTTTATTTGGAAAGAATGAAAATAGAGTAACAAAACATTCAAATAGAATACATGCAGTGAATGAGTGATCAAGGATAGATTAGTGAAATAATTAAATAAGATATATATTTAGTATTTTTTTAATTATTTTTTAACAATTTAAATTGAAACTATGATTGGTAAATGTAATTTATTGACTTGGTTAATAAATTTGTAGAGTCGTTTAATAAATACAAAATAAAAGAACTTTATAACTTTTGAAAGATATCTAAAGAAGTGTTTAGTTTTCAAAAATTAGTTATGAATATTTTTATTATATTTTTACTCTTTATTTAAAAAAAAAATAATTTATCATTACCACGTTTAAAATTCTAATTCATTAATTTTATTTTTATTTTGTCTTTTCATTTGTTTCTTCATTTTTTCATTTTTTATTAATAATTAATAATACATTTTATTAGATAAAATAAATTAAGGAGATAAATAATAATTTTAAATTAATGGATAAATAAATTATTTAAATTAATTAATATAATATTTATTAATATAATATGTTAAAATAAATATTTTAAAAATAAATTTAAGTTATTGTTTAAATTAATAGTATCATTTTTATGAATAAAATATGTAAAAATAAATTATATCTAATTTAAGTCTTATATCTTTTTAATTTACTTAACATAAATTAATTAATTGCAAAATTAACTCATCAAATAACTTAATTTTATAAATTACTTATGCTACTTAAGCATTTTTAGCTACATGTTCACGACAGTTAGAAAATAAAAGTTTACAACTTGTAACTCGATTTATTAATCATAACCTTGTATGACTTATAATCATCGAAGTAGTGAAGTGTAAGATTTTAAAACTTGTACTTTAGAGCTGTTATCTTTAAATGAATGCCGTAGAAAATAGAAAAATAATGAGAAATAAACAATGAAATGATTACACACACTTATATTTAAAGATTTCTATATATACAAGAGATTGATTTAAATCAAAACATGTACAAGGTGTATAGAGGATTTTTGGTATAAAATAAGCAATTCTATGTACTAGAAATTAGCCTTCTCATCATTTTGTGAAACTAATTATTCATCAAAAGAAACACTGTGTTCTATATATATATTGTCAATTTAGTATTGGTTTACTTCGTTTGGTTACATTAATTGGTGAAATAAAAAAAGTCCATTAGTGTGGTATAGGTGTCCATCAACCTAATGAACATAAGTGGAGGAAAAAAAAAGCAAATAATATTTAACTATGATATATTTTCCGTCACCTTTTACATAATCATTTGAAAATAACAAGGTTACTTTTATCCTTCTTTTCCTTGGCCTTTTTCTTCTGTTTTCATGATTTAAGTCCCTACCACTTTCTTACATTAAAGGATAAGATACGATTGCAAATTTGTCAAGGAATCTGTTCGAGATGGAGATACACTGAATCTCATAAGAGGATTGTGCATTGCTTAAATGGTATCAGTATGGTTAGTGGTTTGTGTCACTAGTGCATTTTTTTTTCACAACCTTAACTTCGTATCTAATGGAAAATTTGATGTCATGGCCTACCCTATTAATTGCCACGAGTGTTGGTACCGATTACATGGTAGCCAGCTCGGCTGTTTAGTAAGAGTTATCTGAAAAACAATTCAATGTCACATAAAGAAGTGTTTGAAAATTATTGACAAGCGAAAAAAGGCTGATCATTTGGATTACATGTTCGAATGGATATAAGCATTTTACACTAGTTGATAAGTTAGTTGGAAATTAGAAAGTTAATTTAAAGTAAAAAAAATTAAGCTATCTTATTAAATTTGAAATGTTTAATAACGTTGTGCCTTGAATAATAATTTTGTAAAACAACGTAAAATAATGTGTTTTATGATTTTTATATAAATTTAGTTTTGATTTATGGATAAAATCTATATTTTAAATAACTATAGTTTTAGGTTTTGTTTAATTTTGAAATTTTATTATTTTTGTTTAAAATTTAATATTTTACAAATAAAATAAATATTTTTATTAAAATATTAAAGACAAGAATAAAAAAAATAACAATAAACTTACAATTACAAGCTACTTCAACTAGTTTATATAAAATAAGGTTAACTATTAGGATAAATATGTGTATCAAGGATCCCTATGTTAGTAACAAAATTCTAAATTAATTAAATAAGTTATAACTGAAATTTACCGTCAAATACACCAAAAGTATTTTGGGTTGTTTATGGCAACTCCTTAATTTATTTTTGATTGTTAAGTCAGTAAATGCAGTTGCATTAAATGCTTAGAATGAAAGTTTTAGTGTTCATAATAGTTATATCTAATTCGAATGTAATTATTTTTAGCAAAAAATATATGTAATTTTGAAAAAATATTAAAATAATAAATAAGTGAGATAAAAGATATAGAAATTATAAATAGTTAGTAAAAAAATAAAAAAGTTAACAACTTTTCTTAATTTATATATTACACCTTAGAGAATAATAAAAAAGACTTGTATATAACCTATTATAAACTTGAGTAAGATGAACGTTAATAATATACTCTTAATTATTAGTAAAATTTACTGAAAATTATAAAAGTGTAATAGAAAAATATTAAATTAAAAGTGAAATAAAGTGTGAAACTTACATAACTTTTAATAAAATTTAGTTAAGAATTAAAAATGTGGTAATTAGAGTGTGATAGCAATCGCTTGATTAATTACGCAGTGCCTTCATTAATTAAATAATAACATATACTAACCTGATTGTAGGTTTGTGTCTGCGTGTATCTTCTTCACTGTAAGAGTGTAACTCTAGTTAACAAACACCATATAATGAGCTGTTTGCTTTATTGGGTGCATTTTCATTTCATCTTTGAAATTCGCTTTTGCCATCTTGGCCCACAAATCTTCCCCTTCAGATGCCAAATCAAACACAGGGTTGTCCCACCAATTTTTATGCTCATTTAAGAGAAAAAGAATCAAGCACATTCAGCTTCTGAAACTTGCTGAATTCTATAAAATTTGGGTAAGATCACTAAGATGCTATCAACATTCTTCAAAATAAGCCTTGATCGTTTAAGAATACACTATTAATTAGTACTGAGTTCTAAAAGCCGAAAATCCAAATTCTATGGTTGTGACATTAGTTTGATAGTGTACCTTCTCAGATTTTTCGTTCTTAGTTATTTTTAATTTGGGGATGCGTTTGAATTAGGAAATGATTATTTTCTAGGGTTCGTTTGAATTAATATAGCGAACTCCTTGGCTTGATGCACAATATGAAAATTTTCTAGCAATTTTTGTACATTATTTGCATTTGTCAAGATGACAAAATTTGAAAGGGAAAGTTTTCAATCTTGAGAATTAAAATGCATTATTTAAAGGATATGCAAGAGATACATGTCTTGCATTAAAAGTGTTATATA